TCACGGTCGTCCAGTCCATCGGCACCGAAATCATCGGCAACCTCCGGCCCGACTACCGCGACCGCATCCGCGTGCTGGAGAACGGCTCCCTGCTCATCAGCCCCTTGCAGCTGGCCGATGAAGGGGCCTACGAGGCGGAGGGGGCATCACCGACGACACCTTCACCGGCGAGAAGACCATCAACCTCACCGTGGACAGTAAGCGCAGGCAGGACGGCCGGTGGGGAGCGGGTTCTCCATGGGGCATCTTCCACCACCACTTTTTGGAAGGGTTTTCTCCAACTGGGAGGTGGATTTGGGCGCTCAGCCACCCCATGCTAGGTCCCTGGTGGGGTTTTGATGTCCCCTGAGATGTGGTGTCAACCCAGTACCCCTGCTCGCCCGCAGTCCCCATCTCAAGGCCACAAGTGCTGGTGGCCTCTTCGACGGTGCTGGAGCTCAGCGAGTTCTTCACCCTCAACTGCTCGCACGAGAACGGCACCAAGCCCACCTACACTTGGCTGAAGGACGGGCGGCCGCTGAGCAACGACTCCCGCCTGCTCCTCTCCCCCGACCAGAAGATCCTCACCATCACCCGCGTGCTCATGGCCGACGATGACGTCTACAGCTGCCTGGTGGAAAACCCCATCAGCCATGGCCGCAGTGTCCCCGTCAAGCTCACCGTCTACCGTAAGCCACCCCTTCTCCCCTTCCATCCCTTGCAGATGCTCCCAGCTAAAATTTTGGGGGGGGTGTCCCCACTCCTCTCTCCTCTGCCCCAGGTCGGAGCTCCCTCTACATCATCCTCTCGACGGGCGGCATCTTCCTCCTGGTCACCCTGGTGACGGTTTGCGCCTGCTGGAAACCCTCCAAGAAGTACGGCTGCGGGTAACGCGGGAGCCAAAGGGGGGTCCTCTTGTCCTGTCCCACCTTGTCCCATTCTTGCTTGACCCATCCCATCCCATCCATGCCATGCCCATCCCAATCCCATCCCATCTTGACCCATCCCATCTTGACCCATCCCATCCCAATCCCATCCCATCCCATCTTGTCCCATCCCACCCATCCCATTCCA